CGATTTGAGAGGGTATTTTGTACAAAATGTGTTCGTAAGTCCTACTAATAGATATTTATTTTGTTCGTAAATCTCGTCCAAATTTCGTAATTTACGACATTTGCGAGCGACAGCGAGAGCACAGTATAGGCTGCCATATATGTTCACATTTTGGCCAACCAGCATAAGAATGTGTGATAACAACTGTTTCTCACTTATCAGCACTATACCTTGTGATGTGCTATGACCACGTTGATTGTAAGTTGTTCAATAAACAGGGACACATACATTTGATAACTACATCATTGAACAATGTTGTTATTTTTCTGCGAGTGTGAATGACTGCGTATGCATGCAAAACGTAAACAAGTGTGAAGAGTTGCTGATCATTTTTTGCCTACCGGTAGTTTTTTTTTATGCATTTATAATGTTAGAATCTCAGGTGGGGGCTAAATACCAACCAAACATTAGAAGTCAAATAAATGGTCAGAAGATTTTCAATTATAAATCAAAAAAAATTTTTTCGAACAAAGCTTTGTACATTTCATCAAATTGGTTAGGCAAAAAAAATATTTTTTTTTTTTTTCATTTTGTCAACTCTGAATGTTATCCTATTTCATGTCGGTGTGGGGAATACTTTTCTTTCTTTACTGAACACTGACTATTGGAAAACATTGCCTTAGCATTTGCACATTCACAAAGAGTGAATATGGGAATAAATTCAAGGAAAATCTATACATCAAGGTAAACTTCTTGAGCTTTGAGGCAATTGTCCTTAATGCATTCGTTCAAGCCTCACAATAACATTAATGAATCAAAAACAAAATCATTTTGTTTTACTTTATTATTTCCTGCAGAACATGCAAAACGATCATTCCAAGGTAACCCAGCATCACCAAATGGTTCTGATCGGTTATCTCCAATAGAGTCTTCGTTGCTAAACAAACAGTTACACAAATCACGAAAGCAGAGTATGCCACAACACCATGATCCAACTGCTGAGGTAAGCACATAGAAATTTTCTGTGTGGCCAATACATTGGACACCCAGTGTATATACCGTACTGGACAGTATTAGCGCCCTGTGTCCTCAACTCAGAAAAATCATGATTTTCTAGGGGTGGGCGCTTACCCGTGCACCCCTCTCGGGAAAAGAGAGCAAATGATAATGGTTTTAAAATATTTTGGTAAAATTTACAAAGAACGATAAAAAAAAAAAGGGAAAAAGTTGCCAGTCCAAAATCGAAGTTGCCAGTCTGTTCAGTGGGTGGACTGGTAGCTGGCTAACACCCTGCCATTTGACAGATTGAGAGGAATATTACATCTTGAGGGAAAATAAAATTACGAAATTAGTTGTACTGCAAGGGACCAATGTTAAACACAATAGTGCGAAAGTGGTAGATACATGTATATGTTCATGACTAAATATGAGTATGTTAATTTGTCAGGGAGGAAGAGCACCAACTATCACATTGACGTATGGAGCAGGGCCATCATCGTCTAAATCTGCATTCCCAATCAATAGACAACATGGCTACAATGGCAGGTAAATATATTCAAATATTTGTTTACTTGTATTACCATAATGGCAGACAACAGAAAAGAAATGCAGCAAAAAAATTGAAGATAAAATTGCTAATGTTACTGATACTACAATTGATGAGAAATTAACTGAATTTTTCAGTAAACGTTGTCTGGCCAAATTTATTAAAAC